GGTTAAACACCAGAGACAAAACAGCGAAAACCTTGGCATTTTAAAATGAAAATTGAGAAAGTTGTTTCGGTGTTGGAGGTAAACACGCAGTTGCAGCATCTCCAGAGTTTAATTACGTTTGAAGAAATAACTTCTTATTCACACGTGCAGGCCTGATTTTAAAATATAATAAAACTTGTGAGGACGACAGGGATGGAAGCATTGCGGAAATTAAAGTTTGTTTTAAGAGGACAATTAGCCGCTCTAGAGTTTCTGTTTGAACAATTATATTGCGACTGAAGAGATATTTACGACGGCAGAAAAGGATAATGCTTTTCAAATAAAAAAATTAACTTTTTCAACTTTTTTCGAATTAGAATGAAATGTAAAAAGTTATTTTGAAACAAGAAATGCGGAACTTATTATGCACTCGAACATAAAATATAATGTGAAGAAGACTTTGTCGTCATGTCGTGAGACTGTTTGAAATATGTGCATCGGTGTCGGCGCATGATGAATGCAACTTGCTGCCGTGCAAACAAATGTTTCTTAATAAAAAGAACTCTTGTTACTCTATTCTATGGATTATTTCGAATCTAATGTTGCAAATGAAAAAATAGAAGAACAAAATTACGAAGGATCTGAAAGGAGTTTTTGGAAGAAGTTGATTAAAAATCTTGCGATTTTCAGTTGTATATGCGAAATTAAAATGAATTATACAAAGTTTTTTGTTGCCATAGCTATAAATAAAAATTTATGGATCTATGAAAAAAAATTTAGTGAAGTATGAAGCTATTAATAAATTTTAAATTTTCATCCTACATTTGTTTTTTTTAATTTCATTTTGTTTTTACGTTAAAACTATTCAACTTTTTTTATTTTCAAATTTCAAATGAACATAAAATTAAAGTGAAACATCACAGTGTTGAGTGTTTTAAAGCTTCCAATGTGGAAGGGGGCTGGCTCAACGAATTAGTGCTTGTATGACGCCGACGTTGATGGCATTTAATCCGATTTGACGATTCAGAAATACTTTAAACAAACTTTTGTTTCTTTTTTTTCGTTTTTCGCAAACAAAAAACAAGTTTGTTAAACATTAGAAAAATAGTTTTGAAATTAAGCATATACAGTTGCGTAATTTTTTTACTTGAAAAACCTCTTTTGTTATTTTTCAAACTTCAACTTAATTTTTCAAATACTTTTCAACAATGAAATTTATCTAAACAAAGTTATCGTCATTCATGGTGCACACACACCATTACGTAAAAGTTATAAATAAGTATTCGAAAAATTCTTTATTATATAATTTTATGTATCCACAATTCAACATTTGTTCTGTTCATTAAATTTATTTTAGTTGCATAAACATTGGTGGTTATTACTTTATTTAATTTGAAAATTTTCAAAATTAGTTCAATTGTTTTCCTTTATTTGGTGTGTTCAAATTTAGAATGGCACCAAACAAATTTTACCTCCTTGCAAACTTTTATGTACATGCAAGCAATCATGTGCAACGTATTAGTGATCATATTTGTGCATTTGAAAAGAAAAAAAAGAGCAGACTTATATTAAACAAGCTTACCTTGCCTAATCACAAAGAGACACTAACACTTAATAAACAAACGCGTGTACGTATACTATGATTTTAAGGAAAGTATGAAATGATACGACAAACAGAAACCTATGCGAACATGTATGCAGACATGTATTTTTGAAAAACACTAACTTTGACAACTATCAATTATTAGTAATCATAATTAATTGAAATATCGCGCGTTTGAAGTTATGCAAGCATGCACATCCGTCATGCATAGGAATTCAACCGTAAATTAAATTTAAATTTTTAAGCATTCAAATGTATGAAGTATGCAATTATGTAAGCGTTCAGGTGTCTGTTTCTTCAAATTTATGTACCTTATGACCATTAGCTTAGGCATTGTGAAAACATTCAGAAAATGTGCAAGAACTATTACAACAATAACAACAACGCTACGCTAACAAAACAATGAGTAACTGTACGTACACCAACAGTTTATAACACACACGTACGGAACACGTGAACTTGGCAGAAGTTGACAGCGGAGTACTTACTCCAGTCTAAACAGGATCTTTTCAATATCCTCTCAGTAACCTGAAAATGCAAAAAATATTTATATTTGAAAAATATTTTGTCACTAAAAATTATTGAATTCCGCACTAAAAATGAATAAATTTCACAATTTGGAAAACTATGGCATTTAATTTGTATTAAAAGTACCATACCAACAGGAAAGCCTGGAAGTCTTCATTGCCACATGGAGTATGAACTGAACTTGACCTTAATTATTATTAACCCTGGCGATATAACATTTTCACTTTTTATATTTTACTTTTATAATAAAAAAATATCGTAAAACGTGAATAATTATTTTGAATGATAATTTTGTTCTAAAATAAATGGTTATATTGTTATTTCAGTTTATTCATGGAAACAGTCAGAAAATTCATTGTTTTATTTGAAAATTTGAACTGCGGAAAATGTAACAACAACAAGTAGCGCAGCCATCCATGCGTCTTTTATGTTTGTTACTTAAACTTTTTTTGTTTCGTTGTGAGGATGCTTTGTTATTAAAAAATTTCTTTGAACGCATTTGTTTGTTGAAAACCAATTTATTCTCCACAAATTTGTTGAAAGACATTCCTAGAAACAATTTCAAAACTTCACTGATGCTGGCCCGCAAATCTTCAGTTTTCAGCGAAGGGAGCGTGAATGAATAATGATAACAACTTAGACGCACACCATGAAATTTGTCATATGCCTCTCTTGAGTTGTCTGAATTGAAAAGTGTTTGATGGTTAGCAACACTGATGAGCAAGTAGTAATCTTTCTGAATGGTTTGATAAATACCAACAGCGAACTACTACCCATACATTCATCCTTTACAAAACATCAATCTTGTAATTACGTAGAGTGAACAAAGCATTTATCTTAATGAACGCACGATATTGTGCACCTGCTGGGTATTTGTTCACGTAAACTTAAAATCTTCTGTCCGAACGCAACAGAACATTGCATTATACAACAGAAAACAATACATAAATATACATACGTTTTAAACATGCCATGTACACAAAATTTGAAACAAACTTTTAACACACACGCATAACCTACAACATACACTAAAACAACATTCCTAGATACATGCAGCTTATTTAAAGATCAGACAACTCTGGCCTAAAGCACATGCTAAATATGCTCGAAAAAAACTGCCAGCTTAAACAAAAATTTTCATTCAATATATTTCAATAAACAACAAGCAATAATTTTTACATAAGAAAAATTAGGCTCATAAATTTACAAATAAAATAATGTACAGCCAACACACGATGTCAGGGGGAATGTATGTTTGTTGCAGTTTGCATTTTCAAGCCTGTTTAAGTTAAGACGATCTGCAAAAAATAAAAAAAACTGCCCACTCAGGCACGACTCATCCTCAACTATTCAATTACGTGCAACACATATATGAAATAACATAAAAACAACAACAAATAAAATCTGATTTAAGTAAATAATACACAGCAAACATAACATTAAACAATTTTATAAAAACAACAACATACAACCATATACAACAACATACAACCACATACAACAACATACAACCACAAGTAGCAACATACAGCAACATGTAACATACGATACAACATTGATTCGATAACGTAAAGTAAAGACCTACCTACAAAAACAATTCGTTGAAAGCACAGGCTCGCAGCATGAATGGACCAGCGTTATTTTATGTTGGAACACTGCATTTAAATAAGTGCCTATCTTTCTCTCTTGTTGGTGGTACCCGCTGGCTGTTGAACGTCATGAAGTAAATCTGATGATGTGAAAGTGATTAGAAGGATGAAGTTGATGATTTTGTTGTTGGTGATAATTTTGTTGATGGTAAAAATATTGTTGATGGTGATGAATTTGTTGTTGGTGGCAAGAATTATAAAGATGTTTAAATTGATAAAGTTGAAAGAAAATTCCACTTAAGTCAGAGGATTTGGTGGGAGCTCCATACTTCAAAGCACTTTAATCACATTCACATTGCATTAGATTAATTGTTTTTGTCGTCTTATTGTCTTTTTTTTCTTTATTGCCAAATAAGTGACATATAGAAAAAATATAGAAAAGTTTAAATTATGGTCGATTTCTTTGTTGTTTAAATAGATTGTGTAAAACTTCCGATCAAATATATTGGTAACAACTGTTTTGAATTTAAATTAAGTTCATTTTATATTTGTTCTTTTTTAAACCAATCGTTAATCATTTTAAGTTTCACAGTAAACATTAAATTGTATAATTTGAGTACTGACAATGTAGAAAAGAACATACGCCTACATACAATACAGTCAGTATGTAACAGTATGTAAGACACAAACATAATAAGAAATAAAAAGCTATCAAAGAGCGAACTCGTAAAATAAATTTGTTGAAATTTAACGGTGGGAATACAAGTTTCTAAAAAACGCTACATACAAAGAAATTTAAAGTATTCAGATTATGTAAGCGCGAATTTTAGTGTCGTAATAAGGGGAACGATGGTATAGATTGTGTTGATTGTGATGACAACAAAACGAGACTATGCATGATGACGTCAATATGATGAAGAGGTTGGTGGTGACTGCACTTATGAGTGACGCTGCGAGGAAAACGACGATGATGACGACTGTAAAATGTTTATGTAAATTTTAAGTGCCGTACATAGGATGGTGAACATTCACGCGCGCTGTAGATGCCTCTGTAAGTTTGGTTTATTGTTGTTTATGCCTTACGATGTTGTCTGCATAAACGTTTTTGAATTGTTAATGTGTGGCTCCGTCATTTTTATTGTTTATTGCAACTTTTAATAGGCTATTAGTACTTTACATCGTGCTCTTAAGTTAACGTGCCATGCGAATCATACTTATATATTTGTTGATGGGCGGTACGTTTCTTGCAAAAGGTTATTAAATGATATGCTGAACAATAATAAAGACAACCTCATCAAATTTTACTGGCAATGTACTTTGCTAATGAAGTTATCCCTGAATTGGAAACTGCTAACTTTCAAAGGGTGAAGCCCTTGACACGCAACGGCCTGTTTAATAAGGAATGTTAATCCCCTGAGTTGAAGGTTGAAATGAGCCTAAAAATTGTTATGCATTTGCGTTAAAAAACACATCAAAACAGATATGATAAAAGTCACGACACTCAACATTTGTTTGTGTTTATCTGTATATGTATGTTTATTTGTTACATTTATTTATATATATTTATTTGTATGTATATGTATTTGTTTGTTTGTATATTTTGTGTATAAAAACGTGTCTATTTAAAAATATTTTCTACACAATTGAACGGCCAAAATATTAAATTTAGTTGTTTTTTTTAGGTAGTTACGGAAAGCAGTCTAATATTTTTTGTTTTGGCTGCATCAGACAACTGTCTCTGAATACCATCACTACGTACGTTGGGGTATCGAGTGTATAAATAAATAAATACCAGAGTATGTTGTGCGAATGTGTGGGGCAGGCAATTAAGTGTTTATTGTTGTCTGCAACTATAAACTCTTGTTGCTCAACATACTCCACTGCGACTTCCTGACCTAATGAAAATTTCTATTTCGTAATTGTTCGTCTCGTGGTTGTTGCTGTAAGGTCGTTGGGTTGCTTGTTGTTGCAAGGCTGGTTGCTGCGCGATTGTGGTTGTGTGTTGTTGTGTGTTGGGGCATTTTGTGTTATTGTGTGATGGGTTGTTTTGTGTTGTTGTGTGGTTGTGCGATGCTGCGGGTTGCTGTGTTGTGGATTGTTTTGTGTTGTTGTGTGTTTAGTCGTTGTGTGTTGATGTGTGGTGTGTTGGTGTGTGTTGTGTGGTTGCAAAGTAGTGCGTTGTTATGTGGTGGGTTGTTGTTGATGGTATTGGTTTTTTTTTTGAGATAAGTACATGTTTGTTGGTTATAAATGAGTATTAATTGTGTTGGAGTTAATGTTGTTTTGTATCTGGTAGGTTTCTATTAAAGTTGATAACTCGAATTTAAACATTTGTTCTGTAAAATATTTTGAAAAAACAATTGCAAAATTATAAAATGATCCTTCATGTATATTTTTTTCTTCAACTGCACAGTTTAAATGTTAAATGTAATAACATAACAATATTCAAGCTATTTTCTTTTATAAAGTAAACCAAGCTATATATATATAAATATTTATATATATATATTTATTTATATAAATATATATATATATATATATATATATAATTTTCATTTTTAAAATTATTATAAAATTAATTCGTTATTGAATTTAGCGCTATAATATACGTTAAGGTTTGATTAAAAACGATATCAAACACATTCAAAAAAATATTTGAGAAACTTTGTTAAACCTTCAACCTAAGGTTCAAACATATTTTTTGAACATATTTAATCATAAAATATTTTATAATTTAAAAAAAAAATCGAATGAATTATTACATCATCAAAGACCACTAAGCGTGGTTTTATTAATTTATCTAAATGATTTTTTTTGTTCTGCTCTGAATAGTTATAAGTTAAATAAAATTTTAAATAAATTGTTTAAAGATTTTCTTTAAACCCCATTACTGAAAAAGGCTAATTGCCATTTTCTTTCAGTTCATTAGCAAGTATCAAAATTTGATGGGAGAGTTAAGTGTTGTGATACTCCTGTCATAATTGTGATACTCATTGTCATAATTTATTTCTCCATAAATTTACATTGTCGTCAATTTTGTTTTTGTTTTTCTACTGCAACTACTTATTGTTACTAGCAACTTCATACACAGTTTTTTTGTAATAAGTCAAAAAGATCTTTGGCGTCCGTAGACTCTGATTTTTCGACAATTTTTTTCAATTTCGTTTTAATGATAAAATAAGAAGTCTGCAAAAAAATAAGATTTCCATGTAATTTTTCAATTTATCTATTTTTTAAATAACTGAAAATTATTTTCGGTAATTTCTTTCTCAATAAAATTTTAAATTTTAAATAATTTCCGTTAGACGATAGAAAAAATTATGGATTAATCAGAAAATAATTTCAAATAAACTTTTAAAAATATTTACAAAAATATTTGGATAGATTTTAAAATGATAAATTTAAAACCACATGTGTTCAAATGAAAAAAAAACGGATGCGATAAAACCGCTACAAAGCCAACGACGTCAACACAAACAATCGCCTATATACGTACAAACACATGCATAAACCACACAAAGACGCACATGCACACAGGCATATATGAACATACACCAAACGTATACATAATCATAAGACACAGACATCTAGGCAAACCCACAGAAGCACAGACACGTATATAGAGACATACACTCGCGCGTGCATAAATTGATCGATCGACTCCAGTTGAAGAGGACATATTTCTTCTTTGGTAATCTAGCGTTAGCAATGGAGGGAGCATATTTGATGATAGCCAAGTGACGGCATCAGATTACGACACGTCATCATCATCTCCATCTTCTCCATCATCTCCCTCATCATCATCTTCTCTATCATCTCAATCTCCATCTTTTGCTTCTTCTCTATCCCCTCCACCATCAAATTTTCTATCATTTTATTATCATCATCTTGTTCTCCACCATCTTTATCTTCGTCATTTTCTTCTTCATCATCATACCTATTTATAATACCGTCATCATCATAGTCATCAACTTCTTTTCCATCATCATAATTATCTTCAAAACCATCACCTGCATAATCATCATCATAACCTTCATCATCATCATCATCATCGTCGAAGTCGGTTTCATCTTTATTACTCTCTTATTGTCATTGTCATCCTAATCTGAAACAAATAACGCCGGCTTACATGGATTGTGTGCTGAGATTTAGCAGTTTTTTAAATGTGCGGTCGGCTAACTAACCGTTCCCTTATTTGTTCGAGTTCCTTCAATGTTTATACGCGTGTGCTAGTCCGATGTTTTTGTATGGGACATAATTTTCAATCTAGTTAGTTAGATTGTTCAAAAGTTAGTTTGCTCTGTTATGACTTTTATGTGCTTTCAATTTTATTATATAACGCTTTAGATTCAACATTTCAAACTAATTTTTAATTAAATCTTATGTCAATAGTCATGTCAGTTTTGATTTTTTGTATGTAAATAATTGCCTTGCAAATAGATGAAAGATTTTTAACTGAGTTGACTTCCATTTCTGTAATGATTCTAATCTTTCGTAAATTTCTCAAAGTATTTTTGTTTCTTTCTCTTTCTAAGCACCACACTCATTATAAAGACAAGCACAAACACTCAACCACACACAACCACACACAACCACACACAACCCCACAATCTTCATCAGCAAACCTCCTTACATAAACTAGAACCTTGAATGACGCGAGAGATTCGACGCTGAGAATTACTTCATTTGTCAGCCTGGCCGTCCATTCCACCTCGCATGTTTCTTTTGCACACACACATATACCTCTATCGAGATAAATTGGACTTATATATATATGCGTGTGAGTGTATGTGTGTGTGTGTGAGTGTGTGTGTGTGTGGTGAGTGTTGATTTTGCAAGGCTCTACTATCATCCGTTGGCTAAAAAATTATTAATTACAGTAATTTGTAACTGTTGCAATAAAAATGTAATGAGAGTGAATGATTGATCATGTTTATAAAGTTGCCCACCGCTCAAGACAGCTGCAGGTCACTCCTTTGATTCATTCCTCTGATTAGTTAGAAACAGATTATGCTAATCGCTGCGCTTCATAATCAACATCCATGAAACATGTATTATATATATATATATATATATATATATATATAGATATATAATATTATATATATATATATATATATATATATATATACATATATATTAATATCAATTCTTAACAATTCTTATAGTCGTTTATTAAAAACTGAATTAATGTTCTATATTGAGACTAATAAACTCAACTCTTTATGAAACTTTCACGAAACAATCTGGCTTTTGGTTGATTGTTCCAAAATTGAACTTTTCAACCACGTGACGTGACTTACACTTCAACCACACCAACCATCGATTGTGTTCACATTTTTGTTAGTGCCTTTATCATTTCCAATAAAAAATTAAACCAAAAGCCGAATTAATTTTCAGTCAAAAAATTCTGTAAAATTGTTATTAGTGCTCTGAACGTCAAAATGTCATGAAAAATGTTATTGAAGTTGATTATTTCAACAGACACCAACTCCTACGATCGTAACGTCATCATATTTAAAAAATTGAGCCCTTCTTGCCAAAAAACCTTTCCTAGCGAAGGACATGATGCCTAATAATGCAACGCTGCAATGTACTCAGGAATGTAAGCTGCCAGCCAACATTTATTACACGATTACAAAACTTGATTACACGTTGTCTGGCGTTTCATTGAAATGAAAATGATTTTTTTTTGTTACAAATAAGAGTGACACATTAACTGAAGATTTTTAGCAAGGATGAATGAATATTTTAAAACGATAAACCTCTATTTGACATGTTAATTGAAAAAACAGTTGGTAGTTCATACAAATGTATAACACCAATAGCCACAAAACGTTGAACGGCGTCGGCGGAAAAAATTAAAATGTTTCAAAATTATATGTCCAAATAATTTCTTCATTTCGCTCAAAACTTTATCCGAGCACGTGTCAAGTCTTATAAACCAATATTTTCTTCATTACTTTTTTAATGAAGAGCATATTAAAACCAACCATCCAAACAACCAGCCAAACAACCAGCCAACCAGCTAACTAATTAACTTATTAATTAACCAACCAACAAACTAAATAACAACGGTTCTGAAAATTGGACATAAATATTTTTTTACATGTTTTTTTTTTCAATTTAATTTTAAGCAAACGTTTGGTGGCATTCCTGGTGTATTCAGTTTCAGTATTTTATAATTCGATTTACCTCCAGGCTTCTAAAGCTATCCAACGCTCATACTTCTCATCAGAAAGCGTTCAGCAAGCTTACAACCACACCCTGTTGGCTTGATTTTTGAGTTTCGTTTTCCTGAATACATTGTTTATATTGTAAGAGAGTATAAAGACAAAAATTCTAATTATTTTTATATATATAAAAGTTTATATTAATTATTTAATTTATTTATTTTATTTTATTTATTGTAATAGTTTCTATGCTGTGAACATTCATGCATGTGTTCATTAGTGGCTCGTGATCACATGCGGTCAATGTTGGTTTATGGTTAATATGTCGGCGTTTTCAACAATGTTTTCTCCGTTTTGTTGTTATGGAGCACACGAGTGTGATGCTTATTATATATTCATGCTTGTCTTAATGAAATATAATATTTACATTTTTAATATCTTTAACGTTAGACGAGCTCCAACAATGCCTACGTGATTTTTTCAACAGACCGACAAAAATAAATGGACGAACAAACAAAAAAAACAAATAAATGAAGGAAAGAACAAACAAACAAATGAATAAACGAACGAATGAACGAGCGAACAAACAAACAAACAAAACAAATAAGCATGCGATCCTCTGTGCGGTTATTCTACCTGATATAATTAGGCGAGTGTTCGTTCGTGTGCAGATGAACATGTCGGAATCTTCCGTGTTTCTCGTTGATTATTATTATATATCTTGTCTTTATATCTCGGCGTTGCTGTTGTTGTTTTCAATGATTGGCTGTTGTGAGTGTTGTTGTTGATGTTCGTGGTGATGCGGTGATGGTGGTGCTGTTGCTGTTATTGATGCTGCTGCTGTTGCTGTTGTTTCTATTGTTGTTTCTGTTGTTGTTGTTGTTGTTGTGATTTTTTTTAACAACGTTTATTATTTTAAAAAGAAATGATTGTTGTTTAATTTTATTTTTCTCAATGTTGCACACTGATGCAACATACGTGTATGTTGTCCGTCTTTGGAATTGGGCAAGTTCATGTCACGCCAAATAGGTTTCCATGTAAATTAGCAATCAGAAGTTTAGGGTCAACCGTTTAAAATACGATGTGACGGCATTGATAAAAATCTGATTATTACAATAAAGATGACAAAGATGATAAAGATGTGACGATGACGACGACGATGATATTACAAATGCAACGAAGATGATAGTAATAAGGATATAATGATAAAAACCTTATATCAATCAATTTTCTCTCAGTTGAAAAACTAATCCAACTATATTTTTTAATTTTTAAAAGTGATTGGGTATAAAACTTCTTTTTTTTTCATTCATGTTTTACCTCGATAAATAATTGATATTGTAAATAATGGAAGCTTTGACAGAAACTGCAACCTTTCCAAATTATATTAATCACATGAAAGCATCTCCCTCTCCTACCAGTCACAGGTCATAATTCGCTTTTTCAAAAAAACCCCTTTGAAAAGTTTTTTAAATTTTTTTTCAACGAAACAAATCAAAATGAAAATGAAAAAAACATCGGCCAAAATAAATGAAATCACTTTCTTTTACAAATTTTAGAAAATATTTTTCAGAAGAAATATTTAAAAAATTGCAAAAATGTCGCAAAAACTTATAAATGCGGTTTTTCTTGGTTGAGGTACGCAATGACGGATTCAAAATTAGCAGTGATTTCCGAATTTTAAAGTTAGTAACTAATTTTGCCGATTTCTATAATTCCAGTTCATTCCTGTTTTGGTGTGAGTAATTTTGTAAATTCTCATGTTAGTAACATTTTTACTTATTTCGGTTTACTCTATTACTATTAGAGAGACAAAATCTTCAATATCTTTTCCAGGGACCTATAAGGAGAATAGGGAGGAATGGGAAGATACATTCCCGCATCCCACTAGATCCGCCGCGGTACACCACATCGCTATCGTTAAATTTTGTATTTATTTCTATTGCCATTATGACCTAATTTGTTAGAAGTTTGAAAGAGAGTTTTTAAGAAATGTTATTGATGTCGGGATGTTTATGTTAATGGCCCGGGTGTTTTTGAAGTTGTGTGGTTTGTGAAGTTGTTTATAATGTCATTTTTTATTATGTTGATTTATAAAAATTTTCTGTATATAGAGTTGTATGTTATGAATTTTGATGCTAAAATTTATATATTCATGATGTTGTTTATGATATTTAAGCAGTTCACGAAGCTGTTGCTTATTTTACTTTTACCCAATATGCCGTTGTCTACATGGTTTGTGATGTTGTTTATGACGGTGTAGTTTAGTCTGTTGTTGTTGTTGTATGTTTCAATTTTGGTATTTTTTATGGCATTCAAAGAAATTAGGTTCTTAATAATTTTGTTTATGGCTTTGTTGTTTATGATTTTATACAGTTTATAATAATGTTCACGCTGCTGGCCACGTAATAATTCAGTCACTCGTTGGCGACCAGGGGTGACACCTTAACATCTATCCAAGTTGTTTATTACTGCTGCTCTTTATGAACACTCTCTGTCGATGCTATAGTTGTTGTTGTTTATGAATATTTTCTGTTGTTGTTGTTGTTGTTTATGAATATTTTTTGTTGTTGTAATTGTTGTCGTTGTTGTTGTTAATGAATATTTTCTGTTGTTGTTATTGTTGTTTTTGCATGTGGTCTGTTAGTGAAAATATTTTGTTAGTAGTTTTCCACAGTTTTTTTATTTCCGTCGGTCGCATGCAGTTCAAAGTGATGCAAAATATTAAATGACATACTTAATCAACCAAGCGATAAGACATGACGTGATTTCTCTTGGCCGAATGTTTTTATATTACCTAATTATAAGTGCATAAACAAATATGAATATTTGAATGTTCACTCACACACGCACACGTACATATGCAAAATGCAAAAACAAACACACGCATAATCACATACGCATATATATATATATATATATATTTATATATTTATTTATTTATTTATTTATTTATTCATTGGAAAAAGAAAAATGGCTTTGAAAGAGCAGATTCTACATGTAATTTTGTTTGAGATTTATAAAACTAATTGGCTCGTAGCCAATGATGACTGCATTGAAATTTCATTTACGAAATCAGGAAACCCTGGCAAAACCGATTTAAAAATATATAAGAAATGATAATTTGATTTTAGCTACAAATTAACAATTCTTATTATGATACAAGATATTCGTACAACAGATTTTGTTAAAATGGAACCCGAATAAGTGAATATGAACCTGATTTCTAAAATATTATTATTTTCTAGAATTAATTTCTAATAAAAAATAATTTGTCGTTATAAAATGAGTACGATTCACATTGATTTTAAATTTCAGATGCTGCATGGATCGAATTGAAAATTTGTGATTTCCCAGCAGCCAACCAACCAGCCAGCCATGTTCCAACCGAACATTCCCACCACCCACGTTCTCAGCCAACATCCACTTCCCACCCACAACCACTACTACCACAACTTCAGCTTCTCGCCACCCGCAACCATCGCTACGTTTTCAACTTTTACAAAAAACTATCCTGATGTTGCCGCGTCAGCTGATCGCCTGGTCACGTGCACCAGTAAACCGGAAATGAACGCTATTTTAGAGAAACCTGAAGAGAAACTGTTCAGAGTTGAGCTGAATAATTCACTAAATAAAAAGTTAATGCTGCAGACAAAATGCAACCTAAGGACAAACAACAAGGAAGGACCAGGCTCTCTGACACACGAAGGAGACATGGCCACCTTCCCCGGCATGCTATCTATCTCGAAGGCAGTGAAAAAGTCGACGCTACTGACGAAATCTTTTCAGATGCTGCAACAACCACAACAACAACCACAACAACTCCATCAACAATTTCACCAACATCACCACCAGCAGCAGCCTCTGCATCTACCACAGTTCCCACCGCTACAACAGCAACCACATTATCCAACCCAAACTCTGCAATGCACAAATAAAAATCATCATCACCATCATCAACAACAACAACAACATCAACAACATCAACAACATCAACAACAGCAACAACATCAACAACAACAACTACATCAGGAACCACGAAACAAGGAACATCTGGACGTATTTGTAAGCAGTCCGTGTACGTGTAGGTGCGCATGTGAACACGGTGTTGATGGTGACGATAGTATTGGAAATGGTGGCGAACTTTTCATACAGTGCAATCACGTAAGTCAACATACCTTTTGTGCGGTGTTGTTTGCTCTGCCGGTTCTGTTGTTGCGATTGTTGTGTTGAGGTGAACAGCTAAACGATGAACGTTACTTCATCATTAATTTTGTATGATGTCGATCTGATTGGCTGATGCATTGCTCATAAAAGTTGTTGTTTTCATTAATGTCTTTGTTGAGATTGCCACTGTTGTTGATGTTTTTTGTTGTTGATGTCATTAAATAGTGTTGTTACTGTTGTGTTGTTGTTGTTGTTTTTGTGGCTGTTGTTATTGATGTGGCTGACATTATTTTAATAATGTGTATAATGTTGAAGCAATTTTTGTTGCTGTTGATGTTAGTTTCTGTGGTTGTTGTTTATTAGTGACAATATTAGGATATTGCGTGATCATTCTGGCACCACGTCCCCCGTCCTGTCTCTCTCGTGCGTCTGATGTTGAATTTACTTTACGGCAAACTCCACCTTGACGTCACACCAAGAGCATGATGACGCTTCATTAGCGCCATATCGATATTGTTCTATCATATTAACATGCTACTTATGTCAACTCAATTACATTCATTGAACTGCTGTTTAGAATGTGTGCTTTTTTAGGTTTTATTGAGTATTTAATGCCTATGTGCAAATTTAAAATCAGGCATTAAAAACATTTTGCTTTTGATAAAAATTTCTCATGTGATTCATTACACTTTTTAACTTTCTGGCCATGAAATATTAAATTGTACTTAGGTTGCCGACGACCAACTGAACATCATAAGCTGCAACAACAAATTAAATTGCGACCTATCTAACAAGGAGCGTGAACACAGTCTCAACAATAAGAACAACAACGGCAACATCAACAACAAAAGCAATAGTCCTTATTTGAATGATAATTTGAAGAATTTTTCATTTTTGTCATTCAACAACATCGAGCCAGCAACATCAGCCGCAACAAAACCACCGTCGAAGAACGACGAAACAATATGCGCCTGTGATCTGTTTGATCTCGATCATGCAGCGACAAACTACACAACAACTAACTACAACACATCACAAACAGACATCAACGATGACAACAACAACAACATCAGCAGCAGCCACACCATCTGCAGAAGCGACAAAATTGACTTCATAAACAACAACGACAACAAGTTTCAACAAAAAGTGCGCCGATGTTTAAAAAATGCTGATTACAATGCCGTTCTGCCAGACAATAACAAGGATGACGATGAAAAAAATGATGATGACGACGATGAAGATGACGACGATGAAGAGGATGATGACAACGATGATTGTGGTGAAGATAAAGATGCTTGCAACATCAGAAATCTCGGTCGAACAAACAACATCCCTCTGAAAAATAATAAAAGAGATATAAAAACTAATCAATTGTACAAATTCAGGACATTGCTGCCTTCATCGCACATAAAATTCTCAAAAATCCAACAGACTGGCCACAAAAACTTGCAGAACGACTTTTCTGATGTTAGTCGCAACATCAATTACAAGCAGAACAATCAGACGCTGAACATCATTAGCTCGAAGAACAAACACAATCAACTAAGCTGCTTGTTAAGTTTCAATAGAAAGAAAAATTCTAAAAATGCCATCTGCAATACCGACCACAACTTCAACATCGGCATCCACCACGATTGCTGCACGGCTGACATCAACAACGGCAACAACAACAGCAGCAACATCAACAACAACACCAACAATAACAACAACACCAACAACATCAACAACTACATTTGCAACTTGAGCAACGTTGCAGACTCAACGCAGGGCAACAAAATTGTCACGACAAATCAGCATTTGACATCATTTTCCTTTGATGACAATCATTCTAAAACGCTCTCCGCCTCATACGATCCCCGTTTTAAAACCATCAAATTCTGCAATAAAAACAACAACAACAATAATATTAACAACATGAACGTAACAAAACTCAGCAACAACAAAACGTGTAACAGCAAAAACGCTAGAACAACCTGGAACGGTGAATTTACTGATAAAAAAATTAAGAGATCGGATAGCCTGTTGGATGCAACGTTACAGACGCTAAACAAAAAATTAAACACAGATGACATCATCACTAACGCTTCTGACATCAATGTTCTTTATGACAATAACAATAACAACAACAATGACAGTAATGACAGTAATGACAACGGTTCTTGCAGCAACAACAACAACATTAACAACAACAACAACAACATAGAAAGTACGGACGAAGATGTTTGTCAGCCCGTTCGTGATCATCAACAGCACTACGACACCTCGACACAACAGATGCAAAGTTTCATGTTACAAAATTACGAGAATAAGAGGACTGCTTTTCCTCCATCTCCCCTGACAACACGCGTGCGTTTGTGTGGTTGTTGTTTTCGCTGCAGCCACTCACGCGCCAAACTGCCGCTAACTACCGCGGCGACTACGAAGAACAAACATTCCACACATTCTCTCAAAGCCCCGACGCCAACGGCACTGAGCATGAACAACAATCGCTGTTTTGTGGTCACGTTCATTACGTTTCTTTGTCTTTTTGGGGCCCTTGCAGTGGCTGCTGTATGGAACAGAGGTGAGTGAAGTAACATTTCTGTATTTCTATTCTATAAATAGGCACGTGACGATGGTGTGTCGTTCAAAAATGAGCAAAACGTTTTTAAGATGGAAACATTATTCAAGATTTGAGATACTTTGCAGAAATTTCAAAAGCAAACTGGATAAAATTTATCTGCACATTTGAACAATACATCATCTCCTCTTGACATTTTTCTAATCCAAACTGTTGAAATATTTTTTTACTCAAACATTCCTTCAAAAGTTTAAAATATTCTGAAACATTTATGAAAAATTTCCTAATACGATGATATTTTTTTCATAAAAAAAACAAATTTTCATTTTAGATTTCAATTTAACTTGCGAATTTATCTTCCTTCGACACAAAAGCAAAATAAATAAAGTGTCATGATTTATTGTCGCAGCTGTAATTAATAACATTTTCATTATTTGCGAGTTTTATTTTACAATAATTATTATTACTATTATTATGTTATTATTATTATTATTATCATTATCATTATCATTATTATTATTATCATTATTATCATCATACTCATCAACATCATCATTAGTTTTGTAGAAACAACTGATTTTTCTGCTATCAGTAAAATTTTGCTATTAAAGCCTGGAACAAAATATAACTTAGTTTTCAGTTCAAATTTTTACAAGTTGATATGGAGATTTCGTTCAATTTTTTCCATTTAAACCATTTTTGGAGGGGGTTTCAGCCAGAAAGCCCCCGCCCCCTTGCTTTCATCTCTATTGAAGATCCTATTGGATTATCACTAAATTTCTTTAATGTCGTCTGTTTTATTTTCTATGAATATATTATTATTGTTGTTTCTTAATTTAAAAATTGTTAATGCAACTCTCTAGGTTTTATATTGTTGTAATTATTTTTTCAACAATTTTATTATTATCTTATATTTTAATAATAAAATATATTTAAAATAAATGCTATCGATATTATTCTTATTATAACAGTATAATCTGGCCAGAAAATAACGACCCATATAATTCAATATTTCAACATGATTAATTGTTCCTCTTCGTCCATTCAAATTCTCGTCCACATTGTGCGCTGATGAAGTCAGAGATATATATATATATATAAGTGAATAATAAATAAATGAATAATAAATAAATAATCATAATTAAATAAATTTGAATAAAAACAAAGTTAAATTATTGAATTATTAAGTTTGATAAATATGATATAAAATGATGAATATTAACACGTTACTTTAAAAATATTAAAATAAATAAAAAGCGGAGGCATTCGGAAGGTTGGACTTTCGGACTGAAACGCCACTATTAAAAATTTTGCTAGAGTTAAAACTGAAATGAACAAAATCTCTATATAAATTTGTAAAAACTTGAAAATTATTTCAGCTTTCTAACGTAGCAACAAAATTAAGTAAAACTTTGTAGAAAGCCACTGGTTTTGAAATCGTGTATAAAACTAATGGTTTTAACTGCGAAATATGTTAAAAATTTAGTGCTAAGCAGAAAAATTCACCAAGTCTTTGAAATAAAGCCTTTCTCCGCAGCAAATTTTTGCACCATTAATGAATATAAATAACTGAACGAATAAATCATGGGCGGATTCGGTCAATTTTGGAGCGAGGTCCAACTGACCGAAACTCAAGAATTTTTGTTAAGGTGCAACCTTTTCTTTGTGGTTATTGGACAACTTTTTGTCAGTTCGACTATTAAAAAGAGTGTTTTAATATATAAAACGTGATTAGACCATACGAGTTTGCATAATTTACAACCAAGTACAAAAAATGATTGTTGAACAAATAACGGGGGGACGGGAGGGCCTCTCCCTTGAATCCGTTGTTAAATACTACGATGTAAAATTTCTGTTACTTAATAATTGTCACGAAATAGTGAAAATTATAGATTGTTATGAAGATGAATAAAACTTTATATTAATTTTTCAGACAATTATTAAACGCCTTACTTCAACACACTCCATCACCTGTTTTCTTCATCATAACATGTCCCTGTTATTTTATAGTTAACTGATGCTACTCTAAATGTGCATCTTGTGTTTTATGTAATGGTAATAATAATCTTCTCCACGTTAATCGGTCAAGCACGAAGTAGCCCGTGTAAATATGCATGAAATAAAATGAGATATTCAACACATAAGATGATCGGGCGGCCAAGCGTCTTAACCCCTACACCATCGGCATTGTACGATTTTCTGTTGAAGAAGTTAGAAATGGTTAGAATTTAATTGATGGACCAGTTTGTTGACAGGGTGTTAAATAGTAACCATGCATTGATAGGATGGTAAGGTCATTATTAACCTAACTAATATTAATTAGTTTTAAATAATTATTAACCTCATAATAGCTTAATTAATAATAATTTTTCTCAACGTACAAACAAAATTGAGTTATCGAATCGTTAAGATTTATTAGTTATTAAAATAAATTAGAGAGGTATTTTTCTGGAGGCATCAATTATGTTAACGAGAGTCATAAATGTTGATACATCGCCAGGCTGAGTGCTTGAGGAAGTTGAAAATTATTAGCACCATCAGTACGGTCATCATCATTAACAACATCACATCATCATTACCATTACATATAATATATGATGTCAAATTCCCATATTACATTATCATTAACGTAACATCATGATCAACATCACATTAACATAAAATAACACCAAATTAATTATAGTATCATTTAAACTGTTAAACGCAGTATCAGTAGCAGCAAAGTATCAAAATGATTTGTTGATATATTCGAAATTCATGAAGCTCTTTTAACAATTTTTTGATGTTTTTTAGACTTAAATGCAAAAACTCAAGTGACCAAAAATTGTCGACATCCATTTTAACGTTGCTAACCCTTTTTTTGTTTCAATGTCACACCTGAACCTAACCGAAAACTCAAACACCAGTGTACGGTTCATGTCACGCGACACAAAAGTTCAACCAACCGGAAGCCTTGTTCAAGTACAACGTCATCCAATCATCATTCGACGATCCTGTGACGTCATCATTATCCGGCAATCTCTCGGCTGCTGATGGTTTGTGTTGTTTCCATGTTTTGAATTTCAAAAATCTTTTTATGAATTTTTTGCGTTTTCTATTGAAATTGTGAAGAGAATTTTTTTGGTTTTAAAAACAGTAATTTTCTATAAACAAATTCTTTTTCACAATGGATGATAAAATTAAACATTTCAAAGTCATTATATTTGAATTGTTCGAATGATTATTAAATATTCTTAGAATTTATTCACAAACAAGAGCAGAAAAAACAAATGATTCTCCTGAAATCATGGTGATACAAATAATAACTTGCAATACTTTGAAAAAAATGATGCACCAGATAGTACAAAAAAAGCGTAATAAACAAACGAACGAACGAACGAACAAACGAACGAACAAACAAACAAACAAAGCAACACGCGTGCACGTTCCCGTCAACCATTCAAAACAACAACACAAACAATAAAAGTCACAAAACATTGCGATAGTGAATATTAAGCAAAACAAAATCAACACAACAACAACAACAAAACCATGTAAAACCGCAACAGAGCAAGAATCAACAGCAGCAACAACAACCACACAACAAAACAACAACACCCACAACCACACATACAACAACAAATAACAACAAAAACATCAACATCAACCACTTGACACAACGCAACGACACTGGCCCTTAATGACTTAATGACCATTCCTTACCTGACCATTAAGACCTGGCGACATTCACTCTGACGTTTGAGACGGACGATGTTTCCAATGCAATTTCAACGCATACATACATTTGAATACATTATTTGAATGCTTCAGTGGCGTCAGGTGCTGTAAGGTGCTGCAGGTGCCTAGCCTACTCTTCTGACCTTATAACCAGCCTCATTAATATTTATATCGTTCTTTTAAAATAAAATATAAACAAACAAACAAGCCATAGAAAGTTTTTTACTTTCTTATTATTTCTTAAGTTCGTGGCGCGTATTTTTTTTCCTCATCATCGTCGTCGTCATTTCAAGTGTCATCATCATCACCATCATCATCATCTTCATCATCATCAGTGTTGTCAGTCACTGTCATCATCGCCTTCCTCTTCCTCCTCATCATCATCATCAGCGTTGTCATCGTCGTCATCACCATCATCCTCATCATCATCGTCTTCCTCATCACCATCATCATAAAGCATAGCTACGTCATCTTTATAGTAATAAATTTATTTACTGGTAATTACTTTAACGAAATTTCTTTCGAAAATTCTTATTACATTCTTGAAAGAAGTGTTGAAATTATTGACGTCGCATGGAAGACTGGAAGAGGTGGTTGAGGGGATTTTAATAATGATGAACTATCAGGTGCAAATGGAAAAGTTAGAAATAATCATTTCATTAATCATTTCACTGGTCATCGTCATCATTTTCATCATTATTGTAACACAAAAAAATCTATTATACATTTATCATAATCAGTGTCATCATCACCATCACTATCATCACCTCCAACATCATCACCATCATCCTCACCATCATCACTACCATCCCCACCATCATCACCATCATCATCGCCATCCCCACCATCATCACCATCATCATCACTATCATCACAACCATCATCATCATGACCACTACTACCATCATCATCAACTCCACCATCCTCACCATCACCATCGATGACAACAAAATTGTTCATTCCTTAAAATTGGCACTGTTAGACTTGAGATTTTTTTTTTCTTTCCTCCCCTCCCCCCTCTTTCCTTCCTACCTTCCTTCCAATTTTTGCGATCGCCAGGCTGGAGTGATGAAGATGACTATGATGAATGTGGTAGTAACGACGTTGTTCCTGATGATGATGATGATGGGGTGGTGGCTACTGCGGCTGATGGTGGTGAGGTTGATGACGATGATGGTGATGATGATGATGGTGATGATGCTGATGACGATGATGATGAGGGTGATGATGATGATGGTGATGATGAGGATGACGATGATGATGATGGGGGTGATGATGATGATGTTGATGATGAGGGGGGTGGTGATGAAGGTGGTGATGACGATGATGATGACATTGAATATCATCATCATACCCATAATGATACGATAAGGATGACATTGAATATGACATTGATCATCGTCACCATCATCAATTCATCATCATCCTCATCATCACCATCAAAAATTCATCATCATCCTCATCATCACCATCAAAAATTCATCATCATCCTCATCGTCACCATCATAAATACATCATCTTCTTCATCATCACCATCATAAATACATCATCTTCTTCATCATCACCCTCATAAATACATCATCTTCCTCATCATCACCCTCATAAATACATCATCTTCCTCATCATCACCCTCATAAATACATCATCTTCCTCATCATCACCACCATCATCAATTCATCATCTTCATCATCAGCATCGTACTCACCACTGCCATGGTATGGTCATTACAACTAATTAACATTCGAACGGCAAAACCTAAATGCAGGCAGACTGAAATGAGTGACCACGCATTAGCGAGGTTCCCATCCATCATTCAACATCATCATCAACACTACCATCATCATCAATACCATCATCATCATCATCTCTACCGCCATCGTCATCATTGTCATCACTACCATCACCATCATCGTCATCATCATCAAAACTAAACTCATCATCATCGTCATCATCATTACGTGCTACTACCGTCATCATCATCATCATCATCGTCACCGTAACTGCCAGCCCTTTTATCATCCTCATCATACATCATCATCAACAGCGTTACCCATGTCATCATCATCATCATCGTTGTCATCATCATATCGTCATCATAATCAAGACGATCATTATTCATTATTTTAAACAGCAAAAATTGACAATCAATTAGTTCAAAATTTGTCTCAAGGAAACATGAAAATTTTCACAAGGTGAATGGCTTAGACTTTTTTTTGCTTGTCCGGCATTTTTTTAAGTCAATTTTATTTAAAAAGTCATTATATAATGAAATTTGTTTGAACTTTTCTCTACACGAGACAATGGAAAATGGTTATTTATTTAATTTAATGGAGTGTTACAGCCCCAGTGCACTTCTCGGTCACAACATGTTTCTAGTCTTTGATAGATTAGTGCTAAATAAGTTTTTCACATTTTTAACGAATTAAAATTAAATTAAAAATGAAGTAAGTAATTTTAGTTGAGCATTTAATAATAATGTGTATTTTTAACTGTATACATAGTTTGTTTTTGTTTAAAAAATAAATTTTATCCAGAAATTATTTTTTCAAACTGTCCATCGATTTATAAGAAGTAATAAGATCAGCTAATAATTCATTTATTATTCAAAGTACAAAAAATTTGCAGACTTGGTCTTCTGCGAATCTCTGACCAAACGCATTTCGACCTGAAGCATTCATCCATCAAGACGAATATGCCCTAAATGTAGATGCTGACAAACAGTTTAGTTGGCAGAGTTGTCTACGCATGGATAGTTTCATTATCAAAGTACCAATAAACTTTCAATTTTAATGAGAAAACTTCCAACCAGGATTAATAATAATAAACGAGCGATATAAATATCAACAATTCAGCATGGTCATGGCAAGCATTGACATGAGCACTAGCGACAAATTGCTTCGTTTGAACTCCTATTTATGCTAATAAATCCTTGTTTATTGTCAAGCCAACGATTATATCATGTAATTAACGAAGGACATATTTATGACGAGATAACAATGTCAGCAAATTGTTTCTATAGCAGTTTGTTATTTGTTTGTTTGTTTGTTTGTATGTTTGTTTGTTTAGTTATTTGTTTGTCTGTTTGCTTGTTTTTTTCGTTTGTTTGTTTATTTGTTTGTTTGTTTAGTTATTTGGTTTTGTATATTTTTCAATTATTTGTTTGATCGAACACAACCTTTTGTTTGTGAGTCTTTTGAAAAATGATTTTGCAGTTTGGTAGTCTTTTGAGGAATGAATAAATATTGTTGTCGTGGTTCTTTTTGCATTTGTTGTACACGGTTAGTTGTCTTTCCGTTTAAATTTTGTTGTTGTTTCTGCTGCTACTGATGTGACAGTAGCTCATGTAACTTATTTTCGTTTTTTGTGAACGGTCAATGTCATTGCTGTGTTGTTTGATATGCTTATCTTGTCATCTTGTTACTTCAATTATATATAGAGTGTATATTATATATATATATATATATATATATATATATATATATATATATATACTCCAATAAACTTTCAATTTTAATGTGACTCCAGTCATTTTCAAAAAATCGTGGATCAGATCCTGGAAACGAGTGGATAAAAAACGTCTGACTGAGCTTTTGAGGTGCTCACCTATCTCGAAGCATTATGGTCAGGATGATGATGTCGAATTGGGTTTTAATATATTCAATGAAGAGCTTTTAAAAAATGCTGACGATGTTGCTCCACTTCCTGAAGTTCGATGGAAACATGTCCCGACTGCCCCATGGTTTGACAGTGACTGCAAAAAGGCTAAGCAAATGTGTCGAAAAAAAGAAAGAAGGTTCAGAACTACTGGTTGTTATAATAATAAAGTTGATTGGGTACTGGCAACGAAACAAAAGAATGTTTGTTACTCAGTGAAACGAAGGAGTTTTTGGTTCGCGAAAACATGTCAGTTTATAAATAATTCCAAATACTTATGGCAAACGATTAATAAATTATTAGGAAAAGAGACAAGTGTTGAAAATGAAGTTGGTTCAATGCATAGCGCCGATGATTTTAAAAAATTTTTTGCTGACAAGTTGTAAGTGACCGAAAAGACAACTGAATGTTTTAATTTTCCAGTTATTTTTAATAATATTATGTTTCCACTCGAATCGTTTCCAGTGCTGACTGAAGAACAGATATCTAAAGTTGTTAATTCTTCACCTACGAAGTCATGCTCACTTGACCCAATACCGACGCATGTATTCAAAGAATATGCTGACTGTTTTATTGTTTACTTAACTGACTTAATCAACATGTGCTTAACAAAGGGTGTAATGCCACAGGTTTGCAAGCATGCAATTGTCACGCCAATTCTAAAGAAGACAGGATTAGATAAATCAGATCTGATAAACTATAGGCCGGTGTCAAATATGTCTTTCGTTTCTAAAATTATTGAACGTTCCGTTGAGTTAGTTTTAAATAATCATATAAATAAAAATGGTATTTGGCCTTCGCATCAATCTGGATACAGAAAGTTTCATTCGACCGAAACAGCTCTATCGGATATATTCTCTCATGTTTATTCAGCAGTTAATGTACAAAAAGTAACTTTGTTGACATTCCTGGACATGAGTTCGGCGTTCACTGTGAATCATAAAATCCTGCTGGACAGACTGAAATATTGTTATGGTTTAAATAAGATTGCGTTAGCATGGTTCGAATCATTTCTTACTGGTCGGACTCAGCAGATTTCTTACTCAGGTGGTCTCTCGGATCTGTTCTTGTACCGATTCTTTTTAATTTGTACGTTGCAGAGATATTGGATTTACTGAATAAAGATGGTTATTATTGCCATGGGTACGCAGATGACATGCAGATTTGCGTTTCATGTTTCCCAGATGAGATGCCTACCGTATTAGAGAAACTGACAAAAACTATATCTGATGTCGGCTCGTGGCTGGGTCAAAGTAGGCTAAAGTTGAATCAGACTAAGACTCAGTCCATGTTGGCTGGTACATGGCAACAAACGCCAGCAGTTGAACCTTCATCGATTAACATCAGTATGACTGATATTAGTTTCAGTAAAACGGTTACCAATTTGGGAATTGTGATGGACTCCCGTATGACAACGGGTTCACAAGTCAGTCTATTGGTTAAAAAATGTATGCTCCAACTACGTCAATTACGTCAAGTCACAAAATCGGTAGATAGAGATACAATGACTCTATTAGTACATGCTTTCGTCAACTCTAGATTGGATTGTTGTAACAGTCTTCTATATGGCATAGCTGATAAACTGTTGTCTAAACTTCAGATGGTTCAGAATCAGGCTGCTAGAATGATATATCGCAAATTAAAATTTGATCATGCATCACCAATTCTAAAGGAGTTGCATTTGCTGCGTGTTAAACAAAGAATCATGTTCAAGTTGGGTGTAATGGTATTTAAAAGTTTAAATGGTCTGGCTCCGAAATATTTAGAAGATAAGTGTATTCGAGTTTCATCTATTTCATCACATGGGCGTCTAAGGTCTGCTGATTCAAACACGCTGTATGTTAGAGATCGGAATCTGAAAACAGCAGATAGAGATTTTGCAGTTGCTGGGCCTATTTTTGGAACAGCCTGAAAACAGCAGATAGAGATTTTGCAGTTGCTGGGCCTATTTTTGGAACAGCCTACCTATCGAACTACGTATATCCGGGTTATCATTAGCTGAGTTTAGAAAACGTCTAAAGACATACCTATTTGGTAACTCCTAGTGATCTCAACCGATGATGACTTCGCTTTAAACATGCTTCATACGAGGAGAGCGCTGGTGAGAAGCAATTATAATTGGCGCTATATAAATACAATATTTGATTTGATTTTGATTTGATATATATATAAGACGCTAACTAATTTGAGATATCGTTTTGAGGGTAAACATAATGATTTCACATTTCAGCGTTGGAGTGCCTTTGTTAGGAAAATTATTTTCAGACTTTGGTATCTCGATAAGTTTCTTTTAATTTTATATTTCATTCACGTCACGTTCAGCAGACACTTCAGTAATTGAGCTGCAGACAGCCAGGCGAGTTCTTCGCAGTAATCCTGACGTTGCTTGCTCGTAATTGAAGTTAAAAAACTCAACATCTACAATCGTTATTTTAAATTTTTTTCATTTAGTTTCACAGTTCAGTTTTTATTTTGAAAAAGAATTTTAGAAAATTTGAAAAGTTCAGCCCAAATTTATTCAGATTATCAAAGTTAAAACAAAAATCCACATCACGTCCGCTGAGGCAGACCTGGCGACAAATATTTTTGAAATGTCATTGTAATGAATGAGTCATTCAGTCGCCATTCCAGCGTATAACTTTCAATCTTCTTTCTTAACTTTTACATTGTCTTCTCAACTTTTACATTTCGATGGAAGAAAATTTTTGTAATGGTAGAATTTTTAATACCTGTCCAACTTACAAAAATTCCAAACTCTTCATTGTTAACAAAACTTTTCCTCTCTTTTAACAACTGTTTTAAATTTCGGCTTTTTATATTTTTCGAATATTTTTATATAATTTATATATATTTTAACATTTTCATTCAAAAATCCAAACAGTTTTTCCTCGTTTTGAATGTTTTAATCCCGTTTAAAAATATTTTTCTTCATTTTTTTTCTTTCCTTTCTGTTCGTGTCCATTAGCAACATTTCATTCAATGGATAAAAAATTATTCCAAGTGTCTGTTGTGGTCAGCCTGTGGTCATCCGCCCACAAACTGGAAGTAGCGGGCAGCATTTAATTACAATAATGAAACCTGAAGTTGAACACCTTCTTGCTCAGCTTTTCAAGAATCACAGTGTAAATCAATTTCTTACCGTTATGTGTTACGATGTGGGTGTATGTGTTGATACAAGTACATATGTATGTGCTTACATATGTACACGTACATCTGTGAATTTGTGTGTGTGTGTGTACGTGTGTGCGCATGTGTGTTGAGTGCTGCACTGCACAGATTGTACGACACGTCCTTAAAGGTTAAAGGTAAAAGGTTTCTCTCTTTCTTTTGCGTTTGTTTCAGAGGTTTCAACGACAAACACACACAGCGTATATGAATACGCGTGTAAACCACGCATCATACACATTGCATATGATAGGCGGGTATCTTTTTGTATTCGAACCCAGTCATAGCAATAGCAAGACCAGGCGCCTTTAACTATTGAGCCATCACGCCACCCTGAGCCATCACGCCGCGTGAAGTGTGTCTGTTTTGCCTGTCTGTATAATGAAATGCATCTAGCATGATACAGTTTCATACGCAACGAGGAAACGGCAACACATCTAAGCAACAAAAACCAATAAAGTTATTTTTCAAAAAAACAAAAACAAAAAAACTCAAAATTTTCATAAAAACCCAGAAAAAAAAGAAAATTTCAATTACTAAATTATCAAAAACTAAATTATCTTATATATAGATGCAGAGGCATTTAAATTGCAAAAGTTTAACAATTGTTCGTCACTCAGGCCTGGCTGGCAACGTGGGGAGGGAGTTCGACGGCGATGATGGCTGGGTGATATACTACGCACCAACAACCACAACACTCGCTTACAACACCATCACTGACGGCACTCACAACAAAATAAAAAACTCAAACATCAACCGCAACAACGTTAGCGACGCCATAACCACCAACGACCACAAAAACGACAACGGCGGCAAAGTAGACCACAACAAAAACAACGACAACAATATAAACCCCGACAACGCAGAAGACGGCAGAGATAAATACAAAAAAATGAAAAAAGAGAAAAAAATATCGAAATACAAAAATTTCGAGATTGCAATGACCTTTGAAAACGCTCAAGGACACTGCAAGAACCTCGGTGGCCATTTGGCGCACATTCAAACTATAAGAGAGCAGGTAGGGTGGTGACGATGGTGTTGGTGAGGGTGGTAGCGATGATGATGATGATAAAGATGTTGTTGTTGATGATGATGGTGATGATTATATAAAAAAAATTAATTTTGTTCGTCGAATGTTGAAAAATATTATAGTGTTTGTAAAATAAAAGATAATTATGACAAACAAAATATAGAAAAATTGTAAATGATCATGTTGAGAGAAATGACGATGAAGATGATGATGCGAATGATGACGATGATAATGCGCAGTTGATGTCGAAACATTAATTACGCGCACAACCAACTTTTGATGTTTTGAAAGCGTTATTAATAACAGGGAGTGATAATGTATTGCCCGCTCGCTACGAACTCTCATTTCAAAAAGTTCATCCCCATTGACTAGTGACAACACAAATACCTCCATCAACATTTTTTTCTCTCTTTTTGTTTGTCAAGAAAGTTGTTGTTTGTTTTGCTTCAATTATCTAAAACTTTTTAATAATTTGCCAAAATCTTACTTAGTTTTTGTTACTTTAATAATTCCCATTTCACCACCTAACGTAATATGATGTTAAACACGAACAAAAGAGCTGAGTTATCGGGCTGCATATTTTCGGTTTTAAAAACATCCTCGCCACTTCTTTTGTGCACTTCACGACTGACACGTCAATGCAGACACGTCAAAACATCAGCAACAACATCAACAAAACTTGCATTCGTCAACACACCAACACATCTTCTCAACGACCCAGCGACCTACCAACATACCACCAGCCGTAGACAAAACATTAAAAAATGTAGACATCTCTTTTTCTATTAGTTCATCAATATATATTAGCACAGAGATTACTGCCCATATAGACAATGTTTTTTAACTGTAATTTTGTTTTGGGGTTATTTGAATAATATTAAGGTTAAAACCTCGTTTCAATGTCATCAAAGTTTAGTAAAAAAATATTTCAAGAGATGAAAACAAAGCATTGAATACAAAGTACATGGAGGTAAATTGCAAATAAATACCACTGAGACACCAGTAGCAGATGTTAACGTAGATGAAGGAAGAGTTTGAAAGAGCATTCTTCTTATTCAAGCATTCAAACAACACTAACAAACGCACTGAGGGGACAACGAATATCGATGGGACACCATTCAATATTTTCTTTATCAAATTTTATGGAAACGATATTAACAAGCATGTAGTAATTATACCGATAACAAAATGCAACATCAACACAGCCATAGGCGACAACATCATCATCTTCAACAGCAGCATCAACAAAACCATCACCAACCAAATCATCAACAACCACACAAACAACAACAAAAACAACAACACTAACATTAAAATCTTGACCATCAGGTATTCGTGGAAGATTACTTGCGTCACCGACTCGAAAGAATAAACAGAGGTTGTTGATGTTTTTTATCTTTCGTATGCACTATTTCTCCATTCCATTTCACTTCATGTACATTCAACTCCATAGTATTTAAAATGTCTCAAATATTTTATTGAAGTATTTTGCAGTAAACAAACTAAATGGCAATAATGATACTGAATAAATTTGAAACTTACCAAAAATTTATCAAGGTTATTATTAAAAAATGTAAACTTTTTGCAACGAATGTGTTAGTAAATAACTTGCATCAAAATGTGTCTGTCTAGCAACTTATCATCTCAAATAAAATAATATAAAATGGATATAAAGCATTGAAATCTCTGGAACAAAATTAAGATTACAACATGTGTATGTCCTGCGTGTGTATGTGTGTGTGGTGTGTATGTGTGTGTGTGTGTGTGTTGGTGTGTTGGTGTGTGTTGGTGTGTGTGACAATTCATAGAACACACCACAGCATCTTTACATTTGTTTGATGTTCTTACAAAAATCAGGATGTAGTAAAAAACATTTAATTATTTTTGATTTTTCTGAACGCAATTTTGTTAGTGAATTAATTGTTAATGTCTACAAAATATTGCTCGCTGATGTAATTGCAAGTTTTATGAAAATTATTTGGCTCTAGATGAATGAATGAAAGACACATTTCTATTGCTCATTGATCTTTTAAGAATTTATTATATTTTTTTACGAAATTTCATTACCATTATTATGTTAGCGCTATAATCGTCTGGCATTAATATTTATTTTTACTATGGTATTCGTTAATTACCATGTTCCATCAATCACAAAATATAATAAACCAATTTTTTATTTTTCACCAATCGCAACAAAAAAAATCTTCCAGATGCCTTAGCGACAAACGTGGGGTACTGGATAGGTGGGAGGCGCGCGCGGGGCAGCCACGGAGCGACCTGCATGTACGACCAGTGGAAGTGGGTGGACGTTCACAACAGGGAGATGGGCACCATATCCGGATTCACCGCTTTTGCAAAGGGGCGACCGGACAAGTTGGTGTTTCACGTTATGGGGTTTGGTTGCTGTGGTGTAGAAACTTGATTGGAAATAGTGTTGTGGTGATTTTTAATGCGGTTTGATGGGGCGGCAACTGGGTGGTTACAATGGTGTGATTTAGTGAATAGTACGAAGACCCGTTATAAGGAAACTTGGTGAAATTGGCTTACGTGAAGTTGTTGTATAATTGTTAAATATAACTATTATAGATAAAAATAATATTGTAATAATAAGTTTTTTAAATATGATTATTATATTATAAATACAATTTATGTCGTATAGAATGTAACATATTTTTTTGTTGAATGTTTATATGCCTTATCATAAAATATTTACCAGTTTTGTAAAATTAGCGTTCGATTTTTGTTAAACGTCGAAGAAATGCACTGACGTTGTTGCCATGGTTACGTAGAAGTCTCATTCCAAATGTAGAAATTTCTAAGACATTAAATTAATTAAATCGTTAATTAATTAATTACTTAAGTAATATTTTTTATAAGAATATTATTTTAGGTTTAAATAAATAAAAATGTTTCTGAAACTAAAGCAGGTGTCCAAGATTAAAACGTATTATAGATGATATCACGTATTAATGTATCTCTACGCGTTTTTATAAAAATAGACCTTGCTGCACAAAAAAACTGCAGGCCAGCTCAAAAAATACAAAAATTACATTTCTGTGAACATCTTTTAAATAACATTCATAGAAACGTTTATATATTTTTATAAAAATTAGCTTAAAGTATTTTTGAAACTGAAATTTAAAAACTGCAGTAGTGAAATTTAAAAAAAATAATTTGCTGGCTAGTGAGAAAAAAAAATTAGTGCCAGGTTACATTTAAACTGCGGTAGCGAGCATTAGAATGAAACATCGCCATAAATGAGACTGCATTTCCAAAGTTAATGAATGTGACGAATGGTGACGCTGTCGCATGATTTGTGGCTTCAACTTCTAATGGAAATGACGCAAATGACGGCCACAATTGTCTGGCAGTGTTTCTGATGGTCCGCTTGATTAATGTTACTAACTCTCTCTAACCTTTTCACGTAATTACTGTCGTAAACTTCAGTGTATTGTAATGTTGTAAACGTGTGTGTGTGCGTGAGTGTGTGTGTGTCTGTGCGTGTGCGTGAGTGTGTGTACGTGAGTGTGTGTGTGCGTGTGTGTGCGTGTGTGAGTATTTGTGTGTATGTCTACTGGTCTGTAATTTGTAAGAGTTGAATTTGATGGTGATGTGAGTTGGCTGGATTGCTGGCTATAATGTTCAGTTCTCAGAGTCGTGGGTTTCCAGATAAAAACATTGATTAAGACGACAACGATGATAACGCTGACGTGTATGCTATAATCACAATGATAAACAGCATGATGACGATAGCGAAGACTGGTGGAATCAGCTATAACGTGATAAATGTGATGACGATTACGATGATGATGCGATAGTGAAGATGACAACAGAAAGTTAATCTCATAGATTCGGTGCGCTTGCCTTGCTCACTTTTTTTTCCTCCTATGATGCCTTTAATGCTGTCCTCTCACTCCTATTTTTTTCTAACTACTATAATTTTTCTAACTACTATAATTTTTACTAGTATTTGAGGCAATAACTCGCCACTAATATTGTTATCAGTATTATGATTATTATTATTACTATTGTTTTCACTGGTTCTGTAGTCATATTATCATAATTTGTAGTATTGATAGTAGCAGCTATAGTAGCAGAAGTAGTTGTAGTAGTAGTAGTAAAATTATTAGTAGCAATAGTATTGTAGTAATAGTAGTAATATTAGTAGTAGTAGTAGCAGTAGTAGTAGTAGTAGTAGTACGTTTATTTGAAATATTTGATGTATTTCTACTAGTTAATCATATAAATCGCATTCAGGAGGTGGTGGAACATTGGATCTGGTTGTTAGCTGCGCTGATTTTCCTATTATTAGCACTACAGTTTTTCTTCATGGAGTTTTCTCTGATCACAGTCTAATATTAATTAAGGCGGTAATTGCTAAACCACGTCGAACAACAGCCAAACGATTCGTTAGATCATGGAAAAAGATTGATGAAGAAAGATTTGTTGAAGCAGTTTTAAACTTTCCACTGTCTGGTTCTTGTCGTAGCAATTATGTTGATGGTGAGATAAAAAATTTCAATAATGAGTTAAAAAGTATCATTGACAGACTGGTCCTAAAAGGGTGATTCTTGACAAAGGTGAACGTGTGGCTCCATGGTTTGATGAAAATTGCTTGCGCGCCAAACGATGTTGTAGAAAGATGGAACGATTGTACAAAAGATGTTCAACGGATATAAATAGAAATGAATGGATTACTTCGCTAAAAATTTAAAATGATCTTTTTTTCTGATAGGCGTACAAGATATTGGAATAATTTAATAAAGTTAAACAAGGGGTCCAGAAATAGATGGCAAATTGCAAACAAAATGTTATGTTAAAGTAATGATATAAAAATAAGTCCTCATCAGTTCATGAAATTCTTCACGGGCAAGGTTGATCAGATTATTCAGACAACAGATATTAATTCCATTCCGTTGGATGAGAGAGGTAGGTCACCAAATGATTGCTGGTTTTCATCGTTTCCTGTAATTACAGAAGACGAGTTAAAAAGTGTCATACTCAATTCTCCAACAAAAACAAGCTCACTTGATGTCATACCGACACATGTCCTTAAAAAATACTTAGATTTGTTTATTTGCTTCCTCACCAGTTTTACTAACCTCTGTTTGAAAGTGGGTAAATTTTCTGTTAGTTTCAAACATGCCGAGGTTCTTCCAATTTTGAAGAAAACAAACTCTGATGTAAATGTTGTTAAAAATTATAGACCTATATCAAATCTTACTTTCATATCAAAAGTTGTCGAGAGGGTTGTTATGAAGTGTCTGCTAGTCTATTTGTCTGTAAATAGTTTGATGCCGATTCATCAATCAGCATATAGACAACTGGGACAGCGTTACTTCAGGTTTTATCAAACTTGTTTTCAACAATGGATGTTCAAAACATTTCATTACTGTCGTTCCTGGATATGCCGTCAGCGTTTAGTCAACCATGGAATACTTTTGAAGATGTTGCGGTACACTCTTTTTGTGTGGTTTGAGTCATATCTGAAGGATCGAACAGAGCAGATCTTGTTCAATAATGTGCTGTCTGATGTTAAAATGGTCAAATCATCTGTTTTTGGACTTTTTCTGTTTATATTATATACATCAGATGTATTTAAAATTATCAAATCTCATAGATTTGCCTGCCTTGCATTTGCGGATGATATTCAATTTCTGGTGACTGGTCATCCTGGTTTTTTCAAAGCTGAGGTTGATAAACTTGCTAAATACTTAGCGGAGGTTGGAAAATGGATGTCATGTAACTCATTGAGACTCAATCAGTGCAAGACTCAGCTGCTTCCGGTTGGCACATGGCAGCAGTTGGTAAAATTAAATGTAAATTCCATCAGAGTAAATGATGTTAACATACCGTTCATTCATGCTCCACCAATTTGGGAGTTTGCTTGATAGTAGATTATTGATGAAGGATCATATAAAAATGATATCAGTTTCATGCATCTCTGTCTCCGGAATTTATATAGAATTACCGCTGGTTGGATAGATCAACCTTGGAAACTTTGGTGCATGCGTTTGTTACATCTCGGTTAGATTACTGCAACAGCTTGTTGTATAAAATACCTGATAAATCTATTGCTATTTTGCAATCGGTTCAGAATAGAGCTGGAAAGTTGGTTGCTGGTAAATTGATGTTTGACCACGTCCCGCCAATTTTGAATGATTAGCACTGGTTGACGATTGATAAAAGGATAGTTTTTAAAGTTGGTGTGATCATGTTTAAGGCTTTAAACGGAATGTCACCAGATTACATAACCAATAAATTTACCAGAAAAGGTGCGGCATCTAGTTTCTGTCTTTGATCAGATGATACAAATCTCTTAAGGGTGCCAGTGCCAAGGTTACAGATTGGATCACGTGATATTGCCGGTCCCACCGTGTGGAACGTGGAACAGTCTCCCCGCATCACTGAGAAAACCTGGACTTCATCTTCAATCAATTAAAAAAGATTTAAAGACATTTTTATTTTCGTTGAAGTTGCATTGAATTTAGTTTTGTACTTATTTTGTTTGCACGTATATAATTAATTTATATTTTTTGAGAGCGCTTTTGAGAACATTGAATGGGCGCTATATATATTGTCCTAAATAAATAAATAAATAAAAATGAATAGTAGTTGTAGTAGTAGTAATAGTAGTAGTAGTAGAAGTAGTAGTAGTAGTAGTAGTAGTGGTGGTGGTGGTCGTCGTAGTGGTAGTAGTAGCAATAGTAATAGTAGTAGTAGTAGTAGTAGTAGTAGTAGTAGTAGTAGTAGTAGTAGTAGTAGTAGTGGTGGTAGTAGTAGTAGTAGTAGTAGTAGTGGTAGTAGTAGTAGTAGTAGTTGTTGTAGTAGTAGTAGTGGTAGTGGTAGTATTAGTAGTAGTAGTTGTTGTAGTAGTAGTAGTAGTAGTGGTAGTATTAGTAGTAGTAGTAGTAGTAGTAGCAATAGTAGTAGTAGGGGTAAAAGTAGCTGTAGTAGAAGTAGAAGTAGTAGCAAGTTTTGTTTGTTGTTGTTGTTCAAGGTGGCAATTAATAATATTACAATTGTAATTTTTGTAATTGCCAAATTGTTACATAATTAATTTCTTCTTCTCATTTTATTATAAATGAAAACTTTATCGAGCGCGAGTTTGAAAAATGGTTGGCGTATTGTATTGTATTGCATTGTATTGTATTGTATAGTATTTTATTGTATTGTACTGTATTGTATTGTATTGTAATTTGTTGTATTGTATAGTAACATGTTGTAAGATTTTGTATTGTATTGCATTGTGTTGTATGATATTGTATTGTATTGCACTGTATTGTATTGAATTGAATTGAATTGTATTGAATTGAATTGTAATCATTTAAATTGAATTGTAATAATGTTGATGTTTTCAAATAGTAACATCAAATGTTGTTTCTGTAATTTTGCAATATAATGTGACGTTATCTTTTATGG